TGTCAGATTTCCTATAACTAAAACTAATGGATATCTATGAGCCCCCCCCCCATGTGGGTGCTGCAAACCCACCCCAGGTCCTCTGCAGGAACAAGTGCTCTTACCCACTGAGCCGCCTCTTCAGCCCCATGCATTTTCACAACTTTGAAGTCAATGCATCATGTGAAAGTCTCCGTGTTAGGCATGCATCTTATGCTTATTGTCAAATGAATAAGCAAATGTATGAGAAACAATAACTTTCAATCTACTGAAGTCTCATTGCCACAGAATTAACTGTAAAACAAAGCTTTCCTAGATGCTGACCTTGGAACATGGGTTGTTGGAACTTGCCTCGTGGTTCACTTGGATCTGGAATTCGGCAATATACATGGGTTGCTGGCAATGAGGAATAGCAGAAAGCACGGTTTTATCCCAGTGTGGTGGCTCCCACCTGATATCACAGTATTCGAGTCAGAGACTGGAGGATCATGGACTTGAGGCCCACCTAGGCTATAGAGCAATACCCTAGTCTCCAAAATCACCACAGAGAGAGACAGACAGACAGACAGACAGAAAGATTATGTGTGTCAAAGGGCTTTGAAGGACAGAGCCTGAAATTATTTTTTTAAAAAAAGTTAGTCTTTGGAGTTGACAGTTGGCCTTTAATATGAATAAGTTGGACTGTAGTATATTTTGATTTTTCTGGAAGCACAAACCAGTTTCCCAAGGTTGTCAGTCTGATTAAGTCCTGCCGCTCGGATTCCAAGTGAGTGGAGAGAACCATTCTTGCTTAAGAACAGGAGCCAAGTGACTTTTTGTTTCCTGTTGTGATTAAGAAAGCTGAATCTTTTACCTGCAGGTAGGCCGCAACCCTCTTCTTAGTACGACACACACGAAGGGTGTGTGGAGCCTGCTTCGTTCTTCCGCGTAGACATCTGCAAAGAAATGGCTGCATAGACGTTCCTGTCAGTTCTTCAGCGTAGACATCTGCAAAGAAATGGCTGCATAGGCGTAGCTGTCACTCTTCTCTTATTTCCTTATCGCCCTCAAAAATGCAATGGGCCAAGTCAGCCATCTTTGGAAAATTCATTATCTCTGTAGAAATCTCCAGAACAGATAAAACCAGAACAAAGAGGAAGCGTTTAGACTAAGTAATCGAGCTAGCGAGCTATATCTAATACTGACTGGTAGGTGTAGGTGACACAGACTGAATGGAGCCCATGCTGTGATCCCCAGTTTGCTGTTGTTTTCCTTTTCTCTTTGTCTTTTGGATTCCTACCATAATATGGTGTGCACTTGGCCTGTGAGGGCCGGATGACTGGTTTAGGACCTTCACCCTAGGTCCAGTCTGGGTCCAGATCATGGTCCTCCACCAGGAGGTTCCCATGCTTCATTATCATGGAAGTGTGGTGGTTTTGATGGGATGTCCCCCATAGTCCAGGCGTTTGCATACTGGGTCCCCAGTTGGCTGTTTGAAGAGTCTTAGGAGGTGTGGCTCAGGACGTACTGGAGGAAGTATGTCACTGAGGAAGAGCATCGACGTTTCAAAAGACTCTCGTCGTTTTGTATTCGCTCTCTGCTTCCTGCATTCAGTTCCAGATGTGAGCACTCTGCTTCTGCTTCAGTGGCCACATCTGCTGCTTGCTACCGTGCTTCCCTGACATCCTGGTGGTGGACTTTTATGCCTCTGGAACCATGAGCTCAAAGTAAACCCTCCCTTCTATAGGTTGCCTTGGCCATGGTGTTTATCACAGCTACAGAGAAGTTACCAATACAGAAGCTAACGTGAAAATTCCTAAGTGACAAGTTTTAAAACTTGCTAGTGTTTTCCTGTGTACCTGTGTGCATGTGTGTGTATGTGTGTGTGTGTATTTGTGTGTTTCCAGTGTTTTCCTTTGCATCTCTGTGTGTGTGTATTCACTGTTTACCTCTGCACCTGTGTATGTGCCCACTGTTTTCCTTTGCACCTATGTGTGTGTGTGTGTGTGTGTGTGTGTGTGTGTGTAAGCGTGTGTGTTAGTTATCTATTTCATCGCTGTGACCAAATAGCAGACAAGAACTAACTTAAGGGAGGAAAGGTTAATTTTGCCCTGCAGTTTGAGGATGCAGTCCATCATGGAGGGAGGTCATGGACAGCGAAGCCATTACAGTGTGAGGCAGCTGGCTGCGTTGTATCCATAGTCAGGAAGCAAAGAGAGGTAAAGATGGTGATCAGTTGGCTTTTCCCCCTTTATCAGTCCAGGACCTCAGCCCGTGGGATGGTGCCACCCACATTCAGAACTTTGGCTTTGGCTCCTTGGTTAAACCTTCCTGGAAATCTTCTGATAAACACACCCAGATGTGTGTCTGTCCCAAGTTGACAAACAAGATCGGCCTCACAGGGTGTGAGGGGTTGTGACCTTGAGGGATAGAGAATACTCACTCAGCAGTCTAGGACAGTCTAAGACAGTACCTTGGGAATCAGGGTTAGAACACACAGCATTTAAGAACCTGGTCTTCAGAGACAAACAGACTGGCTTCTAAGGCATGTCTCCTCTACACAGTAGGCATGAACAGTTAGCAAGTGAGTCAGTGTCCCTAAGCCTCACAGCTTTACTAGGAAACCATGCGGAATAATAGTGTCTTCTGCATGAGAAAATTGACATCCAGCCTAACATGAGAAAAATAATGTCCCTAAATGTCCTGCATGGTGCCCAGTTAAATTTAGTCTTTCAGCAAAGTCTGGCTGGTAGGAAGAGAGGAAGATATGGGAGTTGGGGAAAGGAAGCGTTAGTGTGATTCTGGGTGGGGAACACTGGGGTTCTGGGGGTTGTGAGCCAGCTTTTCATGAATGTTTCCAAGGAGCTAATAGACCTTCTAGAACCATCTTTGCTCCTTCCTTGAATACTCAATGGAAGCTACAGAATCTGTTCTCTCATATAGCATGTGACCAGCTCTCACTAGCTCATATTCCACATTCTCCACAAAGACCACACCTTTCTCTTGACCACTCGGATATGTCCATTTTATATAGACTTTGTCAACTTTATAGACTGTTTAATTCACTGTGGGTGATGGGAGGGGTCCCTCTGGGTTCATCAGAACCATGTTTCCCCATCCTCTTAGAGTCCCGAGATTTCTGCAGACACTAGCTTTCCAAAGTTGCTTGGCTTGGTTCACTGTACTTCAAGGTGGTGGGGAAACAGCAGAAAAGTGACCGCATGTATTGTAAACCTTTTGGTTGTGGGATGCCCAGAGTGAAGAGCCTGTAGACATTCTGTGTGTGAGTGGGTCAATGGTGATTGGCATTCCAACACACTGAACATTAGGAGCTGCTAGAGTGGATTAGGGTGATGCTACCAGAACATGGAAAAGTACACAATGGAATATGAAGAATACAGTGCAAAAGTAGAATATGAAATATGTACAATCCCAGTCATCCTATATAATGAAATTGATGCTCACAGAAAGCATTAGAGGCTTGAAAGTAGATGTGGTTGTCTCATTTGGGGGCGGCCTCTAGTGAATGACAGAGACCAAGGTCCTATAGTAACTATTTGGGCGTCTTCATCGGGAGACCCTGACGGGATGTCTTTTCAGGTGACTGTCTGATATTACTGTACTGTGTTTCTTCCTAGTGATGAGAATGCCAGGAAAGACTTGAAGACACTGCCAGTCTTCCCAACTAAAACCCTTCAGGAACATCCATCACTCGCTTACTGGTAAGCCAGGACAGCCCTGGGCTATGGTCATGGCCCCCATTGAGCACTGGTAAAGCCAGGACAGTCCCGAGCTGTGGGCGTGGCCTCCACTGAGCACTGGGTACTTGGCAGATAATCGAAGAGAATCACTGTTTTCTTCCAAATTACTTGTATTCCTTGTAAATGTAGTCTCCGTGGATTCAGTCCCCAAACTGTGAAGGTGCCCTTCCTTTGCACACACACACACACAAATATAAAGATAATAAAACATTCTATTTTGATAACTTCAGATACAAAAGCTGGAATACATTTTCCGACCATACATGAAATTAGATACAGAGCCTACATTGCATTCTGACTCTGGAAACTTCTGAACAAATAACCATTGAATGAAAGTTTCTTTTTAAAAAAAAGAAGTGTGGGGGAAGAGGGGGTGATGATTTGTTTCAGAGAGAGATGCTTCTAGTCTCACAAGTTACACTTGGGGATGACTGGAAGAGCCCTGAGCTGTTGGGTAAAGTCAGGTCTGAGGAAGGCTGCAACTTCAGCGTGGTGTATCTTACAGGATGCAACTAGAGACTTCTCTTTACAGCCCTGTGCCCAAAGGTGGTGATAGGAAGACTATTTCAGATCGTGTTTAGACTCAAAGCAGGTTTAGTTTTCTTAAGATACTTTTTTTGCTTTTAAGGAAGAACAAGCAAGTCTCATATGGCCCAGGCTGCCTGGTACTCTTTAAATAACTAAGGATGACCTTGAACTTCTGGTTTTCTCAGCCTCCACCTCCCAAGGGCTAGAATTACAGGCCTGGGCCACCACATCTGGTTTATATGGTCCTGAGGATCGAACCCAGAGTTTGTGCACGCAAGTCAAGCACTCTACCAGCGGAATTTCATCTCTTTTTTAAATCAACAACAAGAAAATGGGTCTTGGGCTCAAAATTACCTCAACAATGTTCTCTAACTAGTATTAAATATTTGTACTTTATATCTAGTATGATGCATCTAGAATATTAGTTTTTTATTTGAGAAATTCATCTTGTTTCCTTTCCCAGTAAATGACATTTTGAAGATATGAATTACATAATTATATTACACGTTAAAGATTCTAATGGAAGTAGTCACAAGCTGAGCTCAGGAACGAGAGTCCTAGAGAAACGTCACAGGATGCCACTTTGGAGCTCAGGTTTTCAGTGGCTGCCTGGGAACGCGGAAATGGAAACCAAATGTCAGAACATTACATGTCATCAGGCTTATTTCTCTGATTTGCAGTGAGGACAGAGCGATTGAGCATTATTTGAAAATCAAAGGTCTGACTCGGGGTCAAGCTGTGGTCCAGTAAGTATTGTTCCTCTTCTTGCCTAGACATAGTTTTATAGAAAACATCTTAGTGATTCCATACGTGGGTGTTACCAGTTCCGATGCTTCCCAGTGTGGGGCAGGTAACAGAGAGGGAAGTGTTGGTTTCCTAGGGAATGGTGACAATGGTGGTGGCAAGAACTGTTACCCTGGGCACAGGTAAGGTGGCTTAGCTTTAGAATCCAGGCACAATGGTACCAAATGTTCCAACACTTTCAGAGAGAAGATGGAAATTCAGTTTGTGACTCTACTTTGGATGGAACTTGCTGTGTTGGAATTCTGTTTCTTCTTACTACCAAAAGTAAACCATAGTTATTACTTAGATAGATGATAGATAGATAAATAGATAGATAGATAGATAGATAGATAGATAGATAGATAGATAGATAGATAGATAGATAGATAGATGTCAGTCTCCTGTCGACAGGCTGACCCTGAACTCAATAGCTAAGGGTAGTTTTGAATCCTGGCTCCACTTGCCTCCAGATTGCTAGGACTCTAAGTGCCATCACACCCAGCTTCTGTCATACTCTTTGACTGTGTAGAATTACCACTGATTTATTAAGAACTCTTCACTGGATAAAATAAACTTCTATGATTATGAAAAGCAGTCTGCTTTAGTTCTAATTGCTCCAGCAACTGGAGAGAAACTCTCAGGGCCATAGCTTTAAGAGAAAGAGTAAGAACTGCTGAGGGTGGCACAGGTCATGTGAGAAGTGAAATGACCCGGGTGGCCTGTCCCTTGGAGAGGACACGGCCTTCTTCATGCTCTCACTTCTTCACTGGAAGCGGTATCCACTCTGCACCTGTGCACACCTGTGATGCTCCAGGCAGAAGGCAGAAGTCACCAGTTCTAAGGTTGAACCCTTGATGTTCCAATCCATTGTACCTGTTTCCTGAGCTGGGTGCAGGGGGTGGAGGGTGCTCCAGGAAAGGAGCAAGTATAGAAAGATAATATCTCTGATGGATTTTAGTCAGGTTGGTGTGTACATTAGGGGGTGTACTTACTTTTTACCTCTCTTGATAACTGTTGTGTGATTACAAACATAGTCTGTTTAATTTGGTTAACACTTACTTGTGGAGTTCGAATCCCTGCTCTGAGTTTGTCTGCTACTTGATCTTGGCACACTCACCTAACTCCTGTACCCTTTATATTCATTTACACGTAAGGCAGTTACTTAAGAAATACCAAGTTAGTGATTACAATGTCCAAAGAAATTGATCTTCACGCTGTCATGAAAAAAAAAACCCTTTAAAATTGAATGGATGTGATCAAAGTATATTGTATTAAAGTCTCAAATACTAAATAAAAATGTTATTTTTTTTAAAGTACCCTCAAACTAAGTGGGGACCTCAGTTTCTTGGGGATGGAGAATTTTTATAGAGTTCATCCCACTCCTTAAAAGTCCTCGGTACCTTCTTGAACATAAATAGAAGCGGTGACATGATTGCCATAATTTTTATTTGTGTGCCTAATGTCTGTTTGAGAGAGTAGCTCATGTATTCCAGGCTACCATTGAACTCACGGTGTAGCTCAGGATGACCTTGAATTTATGAGCTTCCTGTCTTCACTTCCCAGTACGACTGACATACAATACCTTACTGAGTTTATGTGGTGCTGGGGGTCATACCCAGGGCTCTGGGCATGCTAGGTGAGCAGCCTACCAACTGAGCCACACCCCAGGCCAGAATACTGATTTACAATGATAATGTTTAGCCTTTTAAAGTATATATTTCCAAAAACTGCTATGTTATGTTTACAGTTAGGTAAACTTGACTACAATCAATATATTTCCATATTTTGAGGGGACTTTTTGTTGTTATTGTTTTGGTTTTGTTCTTTTTTTTCAAGGCAGGGTTCCTTTGTGTTGCAGCTCTGGCTGTCCTGGAACTTGCTTCATAGACCAGCCTGGCCTCGAACTCACAGAGATCCACCTGTCTCTGCCTTCTGAGTGCCGGGAAGGCACCAATACTGCCTTCCTTGAGGGACTTTTTTGTTTGTTCGTTTTTATTTTTTAAGTTTTTTTTTTTTTTTGGTTTTTCAAGACAGAGTGTTGGAGGAGGCCACCTGCTTTGTTCTTGACCACTTAGCCCTGAAATAATATTCACACAGAAACCATATTATTTAAATCATTGCTTGGTCCATTAGCTCTAAGTCCTTATTGGCTAACTTTTATATCTTAATCATCTTAATTAACACATTTCTATAAATCTGTGCATCACCACATGGCAGTGGCTTACTGGGTAAAGTTCCCAGCGTCTATCTCTGGCAGTGGCTCCTATGGCTTCTCTTTTACTCTGCCTTTCCTTCTCCCAGCATTCCGTTTAGTTTTCTCCACCTAGCTCTATTCCCTTATAGCTCTGCTATAGGCCCAAAGCAGCTTCTTTATTAACCAATGATAATCACAGCATACAGAGGGGAATCCCACATCAACAGGGTTTCTCTGTAGCTTTGGAGCCTGTCCTGGAACAAGCTCTTATAGACAAGGCTGGCCTTGTAGACCAGGATGGCCTTGAACTCACATAGATCCACCACCCTCTGTCTCCCAAAAGGCATATGCCACCACTGCCCGGCTTTGAGGGGACTTTTTAATGACATTGTAAAGATCAATTTTCTGGACATTGTAATTACTACCTCAATCGTCTGTCATGAGGATAACACTAAGATGAATATTTATACTCTTCCCCTCTCTCCTCTTCCCCAGACCTGGTTTCTGAGGGTTTGGGGTACTTTGAGTCAGGGTCTCATGGCTGGTCTAGAACCTCCCGAGTGCTGAGGCTACGGTCATGGGCCACCATACCTGGTCTAAAAGTTGATTCTTAACTGTTTAAGTATTCGCCTTAAAAAAGAATTGCCATGTGGGGCTAGAGTAATGGCTCAACAGTTAAGAGGACTGGCTGCTCTTCCAGGGGTCCTGAATTCAGTTTCCTGCATCCACATGGTGGCTTACAACCCTCTACAACTATAGTCCTGTGGGTCCTGATGGCCTCTTCTTGTGTGCAGATGTGCACGAAACAAAAATAGCATATGCATGTGTGCACACATAGGCCAGGTGTGGTGTCATGTGACTTTATCACAGCACCCGGAGTTCCGGGCCAGCCTGGTCTACAGAACAAAGTTCGGGGCAGCCAGGGCCACACAAAGAAACTCTGCCTTGGAAAACCAAAAACAGAAAAAAATGCATAAATAAATAAGTCTTTTTTAAATTTTACAGTTTGGGTTTCTAATGCAATCCATTTGTAAGCTGCATAAGTCTTCACTGTGTTTGCTTTGTTAGAAAGCCCCTGGCATTTAGATAAGGTACAAACCATATTATGCCCTACAATGGTTTATTATTCTATTTCTACGTAAGTCAACAAGCTTAGTCATGGCTAAAGGAGGGAAGTAGAAGCAAACTGTGTTCCCTGAAATCAGTTTCCCCCGAAGTCCCCTTGGTTGTTTCAATTAGCTGATGACGTGTGTCCACTTTCTTTAGGTATATGAAAATAGTAGAAGCCCTACCAACTTATGGAGTCCATTATTACGCAGTGAAGGTAAGTGCTTCTCATATTCCAGAATTTTCCACAATGCTCACCAGGCTGTGCAAGTCACCGGCTGTCTAAAACAGCATCTAGTGTGTGCGTGAACTGTGTCTAGGATTTGAAGTATTTTTAATTGTTTTGTTTTGTTTCTCAAGACAGTTTCTCTGTGTAGCCTTGGCTATCCTGGAACTCACTCTGTAGACCAGGCTGACCTGGAACTCACATAAATCTGCCTGCCTCTGCCTTCTAAGTGCTGAGATTAAAGGCATGCACCACTACCACCTGGCCTTCATTATCTTTTAAAAGATTTATTTGTTTTATTTGTATGTGTTTAAGTGTTTGCCTCCATGTATATCTGTGCGCTGCATGTATGCAGTGCCCATAGAGGCCAGAAGAGGACATTAGATTCCCTGGAACCTGAGAAACAGATAGTTGTAGGCCATGTGGGTGCCCAAAACTAAACCCTGGTCCTTTGGAAGACCAGCCAGTGCTCTTAACTACTGAGCATTTTCTCATTCAGCCCCCAAATTTCAACATTTTAAGTAGAATCATTTCCATCCATGTTTTAAGTTTATTCATATTTTTAGCAAATTATAAAGCACATTATCTTTGCAAAACACTACACTCAGGTGCTTTCCCTGGTGTATTAGTTCTCTCTCTCTCTCTCTCTCTCTCTCTCTCTCTCTCCCTCCCTCCCTCCCCCTCCCCCTCCCCCTTTCTCCCTCTCTCTCTTCCCCCTGCTTCCCTGCCTCTCTCACTCTACTTGCATGCTGGGTATTGAGCCTGGGACCCATGGCATGATAAATTCCTCCTGTAGCACCGAGCTTCACCTGCAGTTCTAGGTCATTCTCACATCTACCCACAGCGATTTTTGCCTTCCGGTTATTTGCCTACTGAATGCTCCCCGCTCTTTATGTCCCCCGTGTGACAGTCATGCCAGTCTTCAGTGTTTATGCAAACCTCTATGGGAAATGCTGAAATTTTTGTAAAATTTGCAGTATCACGCCCTCCCTCATCAGTGTGCTTTGTCTTCTTGTGCTGATAAGCAGGAAGAAGCTGGCTAAGAAATACTTTTATGATAAAAGAGGAAGCAGAGATGAGGGGGGGGGTTGTTTGAGAGAAGCATCATTTTATAACTGATTAGCTCTTCCATGACTTTTGGTGTCATGATAGTGTTGACATCTTTACATGTGCATATGGAGGAAAATCAGATAATACACACTTTCCTATTGAGGATGCCTGTGCTAAAAATGTATATTAATTTCATCTTAATTTTCACTGATTCTGCTTTGCATATACACATATGCCTAAGCCTATATTTTTCTTTCTTTCTATTAATATCTTTTTATTGGAAAATCCCAATAATCAGGTTTAGAAACACAGTGTATTTATAATAGAATATCATCTATATCCACTCCTCACATGTATCTCAGACTGATTCTTCATGCTGGGAGTTGTCCAATTCCCCAAAAGGTGTTCTTGCTTCTCCCTCTTCATTGTTAATTGTGCTTTGAGCACTGGGCCTTGGAACCTCTGCCTTTCCCTGGGTAATCCCTGGAAACTTCCCAGCCTTTATAGCTGGCTGTTAACTAAGAGAACAGGGAGTCTTTTTGAAATCATAAATAACTTTGTCTGGATTAGTTCTTGGTTGAATTACATTTTTTTAATTCTCTCCAACAATTTAATCAAAGCACTAAATGCTTCATTATTTTGGACGCTAACAGTATTGGCTTTTGTGTGTATGTATTATTTGAAGAGATTATTTCAATAAGTTAGGGTTCTCAGCAAGGTTCAATTTATGAAGGCACATTTATTTTGGCTTGTTGGCACTTGTTAAAGGAAAGAAATTGACAGCGCTTCCCCTCTAGAAGGCTTACCCGATCTCGTGTCTCGTGTTTTTGTTTTTGTTTTGTTTCCTACTTTTTAGGATAAGCAGGGACTTCCGTGGTGGCTTGGGATCAGCTACAAAGGAATCGGCCAGTATGATTTACAAGACAAGGTGAAGCCTCGGAAAGTAAGTGTGAGCCACTGCAGACACTGAGAGGAACCTTTAATGTTCTAGAGCCTACACTATCACTTTCAGGGGCGCCTTGAGCAATCTCAGGTAGTAAACATCGCTAAGTGAAATTTAACATTCAGCCATGTTGAATGGAAATTTCAAAAATAACTCACTTATGCACCACCAGCACAGTTCCATAATAAGATAGCCATCTTTTCATTTGCTTGTTGAGACAGGTTCTCCTGTGGCATTAATCGATCCTCTGCCTCCACTCCCCGAGTGCTAGGATTGCGTGCTGTCTGTTCCGAGGCAATCACCTGAACTGCACACAAAGGTTCATCTACAAAGCTAACCACAACATGGTTCACAGCCCATACACTTGAGTTTAAATCCAAAGTTTCGTGGTGATTACTTCTCAATCAAATGGTTGCAAGCAATCTTTCCGCAATTGCAGCGGTTTCTGCCGATCTTCATTTTCACTGTCTTCTATAGCAACATAGTCTGCTTTCTGCAGAGAAAAGAACTCATGAGCTGTAGGGCCAGAATCTATCAGGCTTGGGTTTTCTAAAGCTAAGTGAGTCACTATTTATCACTATCTGCCTGGAATCCTACCTAGTATTGGAAGGCAGAGAGAATCAGAAGCTGTGAAGGTCATGCTCTTCTAGGTTGTGAGTTGGAAGCCAGCTTGGGCTACATGAAACTCTGCCTCCAAAAAAAAATAAATAAATAAAAATAGGGGGAAAGAAATGTTGATTATGAAGTTACTACTGTCACCTCAAGTATAAGTGTACAACATGCATAATGTCACCATTGATGAAGCTGTATAGATCACCATGCCATCGCTGTTGGTCTCCTTACGTGCAGAGAGATAAAGACCACTCACACTGATTGCTCTGGGAGAGATTGCCGCCCTCCCTATGCTCTGCCGCCATCCCTGCAGGCTGTAGGAGTGAAACAGTGATCTCTCAATAACAAGGTCAGCCTACCTGCCTTATCTCAACCCAGCATCACGGTCTAAAATAACTCCTACATGGCCACCTGTCTGCTGCTGTGTTCTTCCTAGAGCAACCCTGGGGACAGATCATGCACTGTGTGTCTCCTGAGACTCCTCTCATGGACCATGCTTGCAATCTCCTTAGGTTATGAAAACGGAGCACCCTTCTTGACCCCGTTGCATGGCTGGGACATTAACAGAGATAGCGTGATGGGTGGTGCTAGGCAGACCGTGGCTCCCCTGTCCATGCTCATCCAGCTCTGCTGGACCAGACTCGCTGGGCACCAAGGCTGCTTATTAGGGAACTATTAGCAAAAGCAATAAAGCAGCAGTCAACCACCGTGTCCTCCTGTGCTAGTCGAATAACCAGCCTGTAGTTTCTGTCAGCCCTGGGAGCCACAGCCAATGGGATAAGGAATACTGTGTTTTATTTTCTGTTCTGTAATGCGGGGATCAAATCCGGGGCCTTGCAAAAGCTAGGCAATCACTACACCGCCACCAGCACCACCAGCACCACCCTGGCCCTCTTGCTACCTTTGAAAACTACCTAGCATTCCATTGTGTGGATATGCATAATCTTTTTAACAGATTCTCTCTTGTGATCCTCCTGGCCACCCTCCACCCAATTCTGGGATTACAGGTGTGAGCCACCACACCTAACTAACTACCGATTCTCTTTTGATGGGCTTTATAGTTTCCGTTGTGGGCGGGCAGAGAGGTCAGGGTACAGAGCATAATACTGAGTCCCAGCCAAGTCACTGCTTGTCATGTTTTCTTAAGGCAGAGCTCACCCCGTATTACTGCTTTTGCTCCTTAGACTGTCCTGAATTTTACCTTCTTAATCAAGGGCACACAGGACTCTTGCTGGGTTTTTACTAAACTTGTGTACGTAATAGAACTTAAGCCAACAGTCAGGTCAACTTATAATCAACCAGCATGACTTGGTAAGTATGACATCCTCACAACATGGAAGTGTTTCTTTAAAAATAAAACTAAAAAAAAAAACAAAAAACAAAAAAAAAACAAGCAACCTCAGCACTCATCCCTCGCAGGCCCTCCCACTCTCGGAGTTCTTTCTCCCTTTCCATAATAAATCCATGATCGCACTGCCTAAAGAAAGAGACACAAGCAATCAGATTTCCTGCCCGAGTCATGGTGAGTCAGAGCTACACAGCAAATGCGAGCCCTAGCTCCTCTGCGGGGCTCCTGACTCACCAGGCCTTTCTTTACGTTCACAGCTTCATAAAAATCGGTACACACTGTTTCACACGGATCCCCATCAGGCCTGCTTGTTCATCCCCGCGTCTAGACGAGGCTCGGAGCCACCTCCTCTTTTCCAAGTGCCGTTTCCCTCTTTCACTTCCAGACAGCTCTTGTGCTGTCGCTTCCTTGCCCTTGCTTCTCCACCACTTCCGGTGTCCACGTGGCACCTGTGGTTTGTTCCCTGCTATCTTTTGTTAATCTGGTGGTGGATCGTGCCTCTGCGGACTTACGGCTCTCTGGAACCTACTGATTCGCGGTGGTGGCAGCAGCGTGCTCTGCCAGGCCCTATCCTGACCCATGTTAAAAAGAACACATGATTTATTTAAAGGGTTGTGAGCACCGACACAAAAGAAGGCTCTCGCTTCAGCATCTGGGCGTGCAGCAAGTTCTCCGATAGCCAGGAAAGAATCGGGGTCGTGCTGACAAATGAATGGAGCCCAGGCTGCTGGACCAGCCTCAAGGTGCTGGGCCTCTGGAGCCATGTGCCTACCTTGTTGGTGTAAAAGCAAATCAGGAGGGAGATGTACCAAGAATCAGAGACTGACGCCAAGAGGCCGGTCTTAAAAGGGGTTGTTTAAGGCCTGCTGGCACAGGCCTCCTGCCAGTCTGTCTGGATAATGTCTGTTAATCGTTGTCTCTAAGTGGCGGGGACTGTGTTTCTTTACTGACAGTCTACAGACTGAGGGGTCGCAAGTGGCTTCCATCAGTGAAGCACCATGATGTAGGCCAAGAGTTGGAGAGGCTTTCCCGACCCTGGCCCTGATTTGCTGTGTGATCTTGGCTCAACATCTGAATTTGTGTGTGTCTGTGTGTCTGTGTGTGTGTGTCTGTGTGTCTGTGTGTCTGTGGGTGTGTGTATGTGTTGCCATGCTGGGAATGCAGGCTAGGGCCTCAGGCAAGCCAAGCAAATGCTCTACCACTAAACTATATGTCCAAGCCTTATTCGCTGTGTGATCTTGGGCACAGCTTTCATCTCTTTAGAAGTATCTCCCTTATCTGCATAGCCGAAATCCCACTAGCTGCATGAGGCGGCTGTGAGAACTAAGTGAGAGTATATTCTGCCCCATGCCTGATAAACGGATATCACTAGGTAACTGCTCACCACTCCTTGGAAATAAGGGAGACAGACAATTAAAGAGACTAATTGGGAAATATTTTTGGGTTACAGGTTACTGACAGAGAAGGACCCAAAGCAGCCCTGGTATAGTAAGAGTGCCTATATTTAGTTACTTATAAACCCTTTTCTCCCTGGTTCCTTACCCATAATGCATGGAGATGTGTCATATGGGAAAAGAAAAATAATGAATTAACGACTTTACCACAGAGCCTCCTGTATCCCAGACTGGCCTTGAACTTGCCGTGTAGTCAAGAAACCTTGAATTTTTGATCCTCCTGCCTCCGACTTCCCAGTGCTGAGTTTGCAAGTGTGCAGCACCATCCCGGTTTCTGTGGTACTGGGGTTCAAACCCAGGGTTTCATGCATATTAGGCAAGCACCTTACCAACTGAGCTACACCCCCAGCCTCTCTTACTAGGTTTTTAGTGCCAGTTTAGTACTTCAAGGGGCAAAAATGTCTGTCCCAAGGAAGTAGACAGTGGGTAAGGCGATGGTGTGTATGTCGTGACTGAACTCTGACCGTACCTGGGAAAGCAGGGCCTGTAGGGGAGCAGCGATGGGAGACTGATAGGGCTCCCCAGCCAGGCATCATCTAGACCATCCTGATGAAGTTCCCTTCGAGATTAGCATCTTTTTTACAGTGTAGCGTGATAAAGGAGCCTTGTAGTGAATACCATCCCTGATCTGTGGTTAACTGATTTTTTTTTAACTGTTGGAAGTCCTTGTGCCTGGAGGCAGATGGGTTGAGTAATCAGCACAAAAGCCTTCTGTTCACTTGTCCTAGCAGTCCCTGGCTCGTTCCTTTACTTCCAGGCAGCACCTTGCTTGCTTCTCTGATCACAGGCATCTTGACCACCCCAACTCCTCCTTGCTCTCTCCGCCACCAGCCTGTCACCATGGACCACACACGGTCCTCCTGTCCGCAGAGCAGATTAAGGCTAGCAGAACGGGAGAGCGGGAGCTGTCCACTCCCACTTTCTCCATCAATACAACACACTGTCTGGTGTGGACGAGAAACACTGGATTACAATATGTGGTCAGGAGACCAGTCCGTCCTGTTTGGAAAGTGTGTGATTAAGCCTCAGCCCCACCAATAATCAATCTGATTGTTAGAACCTGCAGAGCCAGTGGGAGGAGAGGCCAATCCTATAACAGGGGTTTGGAATAAGAACCAGTTCTGCATTCCCGCTGACCAGCTGGCTGACTTGGAACTGCCACTTAACCTCTCTGTGCCCCCATTTTCTCACCTATCAAGTTCAAAGAATTCTGTCTACACTCTTACCCCACAGGGCTGTGAGCACCCAGTGGGCTAATGGGATTTGCTCAGAGTGAACGCAGCCCCCTCCACACCATACTTTGCCGTATAATATGACATCTCTCTTCACCTATGTGTCTAAGTGCAGTTAGGGTCTGTAGTTCTAGGAGGAGAACCTTCCAAGATTCCACTGAGTATTGCCGAAGGTGAAGGGCATTCTGGAGCAAGCTCTAGGGAGTCTGCGTCTCATTACAAGGGAGGCTGGGAGGTATTGTCTTGATGCCCGCAGGCCATGGCCAAAGCTATAACTCAGGTTGTTTTGTGACCAAAAAGAAATGTCAAAATATACTCTGGAGGAGGCAAGTGGTGGCTGATGACCTATTCTAGAGAGATGGTGGTGAGGAACAAGTACGCAAAGAAATCAGATAATTGCCTGACTTTGGATTGCCTCTGATAGGAACTAAAGAGATAGAGAGACAATCATGGCATGGGGAGAGACATTTGGTGTGCTCAGGGAAGGCCTGACTGAGGGAAGTGACATTTAAGCTAAGACCCGGATGGTGAGATGCTTGCAGAGTACCTGGTGGCTGCTGGGAAGGAGGGAGGGTAAACTTTTAACCCTCCCTCTAACCACTAGCCACACCTTCCAGAATAAGGATTCTATGTAGGAATGGCAGGTGATCCCTACAGAAGAGAAAGTGGCTCTACATAGGGGAACCATCACAAAACCCATGGCCCCCTGTTACTAGCTGCACCTGGGCCTTAACCAGTGGTAGAATTGTTCACACACAAAGATAAATGACACGAAGAGTTAGTGTTGGAGTTCAGTTGGAAGGAAGATTGCCCAGCATGCTTGAGAGCCTAAGTTTGATCCCCAGCCCCTCATAAGCCAGGTATTGTGGGACACAGCTCAGATCTGAGCACTCAGGGTGTAAAGGTATGAAGGTCAGAAATTCAAAGTCATCCTCAACTTCAGAGTAAGTTTGAAGTCAGACTGAGAAGCAATGAGTCCCTGTCAGAGAGGCGGGGTGGGGGGGAGAGGAAGAAGCAGAGAGAGAGAGAGAGACATCCTTGGTCATCTGTGGCAGCACCGTGCCAGGCCTGGTTGTCGGGCACACATGCACACGTGCCCCCACGCAAGCTCTAACAAGGAGGAAGTCAGTACCTCAGCCGTGGGAGGTTAGAGACTTGGCCACAGGGGAGGCTGGGTGAGGTGATACCATTTTAGACGTTCAGTTTTCATATGACACGTTTTTTTAATACTGAGAACTTTTTCATCTAAACGTATTTGCAAATAGCAAATGTGTTTACTTGATTGCATGTAAGGTGTGACATTTTATGTATATATAGCTATGAGATCACATCTAAAGGAAATAATATTCAGATTCTGAGCATCTTCTGTTGGGATCTCCCCCAGTTCCTAACCCACCTTCCCATCCCACCCTTCCTCACCCCACCCCCACCCCCGCTTTGTTTTTCAAGACAGGGTTTCGCTGTGTAACAGTCCTGGCAGTTCTAGAACTTGCTTTCTAGAGCTCACAGAGATCCCCTTGCCTCTGCCTCTAGAGTGCTGGAATTAGAGACCTGCACCCCCACTGCCCAGCCTGCTGGGATCTCTTATGAAAGTGTTTTTACCACAGCAAATGCTTTTAGCAGGATCTCTTTCGTCTGATCAAGTATCGTAAGTCCCTCCATCGGGTTATGTTTAGACTTTGAAATGTGACGGAATCCTAAAAGTATTATCCAACTGAAAGAAACAGAACTCTGAAACTTACTATTTTAGAGAAAAAAAATCTAAAGCCTCTTATTTACATAGTCTGGCTCTCAGAGCCTAGATGTTACTCCCCAACTCAGCGTTTCTCGACTCCAGCTGAATTACGATTTCCTTTGGGGTGTGGGACTGTCTTGTGCGTAGTGGGACAGGACACGGCATCTGTGCTGTGTTCTGGCAGCCTCCCCCCTTCCCCTATGATCACTAGCCGGCTCTCCTCCCATGGCCAGATGGCCTGGAGGTGGTGTGGGGGTGGGGAACAGTGCAGTTGTCATGAGCTGCAAAACCACTGGTGAGTGAGGCTGTGGGAGATGCCCTCACAGGGGGGGCACTTGCAATCCCAGCACTTGGGAAGCTGAGGCAGGAGGATCAACATGCTCCTAAGACTAGCCTTGTCGGTGAAATCAAACCCCATTTCAAGAAGGGACTTGGTCCTATTCCACAAATGGCTGCCATAGTTGCCACCTCTGTTCTTTTTAATCTGAAGTATAAATATTGCTGTTCTCCTCCTGTTAAAAATACAAATGTCCCCATAGAGTCCTCCCTAACTATAGAAGTGGTGACGTCCTCTGGTGCTATGCTGGACTCTTGAGCCTGACTCTGGTTGTGTATAAATCCCAGATCCATCCCGGTTGACTGGGTGACTTGGCCAGGTGGTCACACCTCTGTGAGCCTTCATTTTCTCCTGGATGGGATCCAGCTTAAGATGATGCTTCTGCGTCTGGTTGTGGAGAAGACTCAGTGCACCTGGTTTGCGGTACTCCAAACGGCTTCTGCGGCACCTTTATTCACCAGGGGTCACCTGTAGCATGAAACCAACTAAGCCAATGACGCCTGGTTTGCTTTCCTTCCCATCACAAGGGGATCACCCTATCGGAGTGACTCATTGTTTGATGTACCTTGGCTGCGGACTATCCCGAATTTAGTCATTTCCATGTGAATTTGCAGTTAAATGATTAACCTGTAGTACAATGAGCCAGGAAACGTCCCAACTCCTAGGACATCTTTTCCTACACTACCTTATTGTCATACCTAGGTGTGTTTACTTGCAGCTTGTCACGATTTAAAAGAGAACTGGACACTTTCTATCCAAGTCCCCCCCCCCCCCAGCCACCAGGGGTGTCTCAAGGAAACCCCCTACCCTAGGCAGCAGGCTCTCCAGCATTCCTCTGCATGCTGGGGCACATTTCTCCTCCCTGGCTCCTCCAGACAGAAGGGAGCTTGCTGCCCAGTTTGTCTGTGGGGCAAGCTGACACCCCACCCTCTGTCCCTCTACTCCTCGGTGACCACCAGGTACAGGATAGAGGAACAGATTTCCGCCCTGCAGGATGCATCAGGGAACCACCCAAGCGATCCACACGGCCAGGCCAGTGTGGTCATTGACATTGAGGCCCGATGACACAGCTATGCCAACAGAACTCCTGACTGAGCTGTGGAGAGGCGGATGTGGAGCCAGATAGCGAGTGCTAGCTCTGTTTCTGCTCTGAAGTGACTGTCATCTACTTAGTAACAATTACCAAGTGTAGAGCAAGCCCTTCACAACCTATTAGCTTAACCCCTCCCTGATGTATACTGCAAGCCAGGCTCTGGGTTGAGTACCCTATAAACATAAAGGTGTCTTTGGATAACCTTTGGAGGCACACATCATTGGGCCACTTAACAGAAGAGGAAACCGAGACTTTGGAAAGTTAAGGACCTCACTGGTCAGCACAGCTCTGAGTAGTGGATCCAGTTGCAAACCTAGACAGGCTGGTGTGGCTCTTGTGTGTGCATGCCATGAGGGATGGGATCTGTTCAGTGTTCATCAATAAGTGAAGAGCCTCACCCATAGAAGGTGTTTAAGACATACTGTGGAGCTGGGCTTGGTACTGCAGGCCTTTAATCCCAGCATGTGGGGGACAAAGACAAGCAGATCTCTATGAGTTCAAGGCCAGCCTGGTCTACCCAGTGAGTTCCAGGACAGCCAGAGCTGTGACTAACAATAAGAGCCATAAAATGCTGTCATTGAGAAGGAATGAGTTGAAATCTCCTGGTATACATTAGACCTGTTTCCTAAAAGTCCTTCAGGACCCTACCGTTTCAAAATACCAGTCTGTTTTGTTTTGCTTTTTCTATTTTATTTATTTATTTGTGTGTGAATATTTAGTTAGTTGTGTTTGCGTGCATGTGTAGCACGTGTGTGTCTGGTGCCCATGGAGGTGAGAAGAAGGCATCGGACCACCCGGAACTGGAGTTACAGGCAGTTGTGAGCTGTCCTCTGGGTGCTGGGAACTGAACTTGAATCCTCTGGAAGAGCAGCCAGTGCACAGCCATCATTCCAGCGCCATCCAGGAATCTCTGTAGTAGGTGGAAACGTGGCAGAACTGTTTTTATCTTTTCAAGTGTGTATAAACGAGTGGGGCCTAACTATTGACTTCAACAAAGTGCCTTAAATATTTAAGATACTTATTTCGTTGAGTAGCGCATCATAATGGGGCATTTCCCACCCCCTAAAGCCTTCAGCTTCCTTTGTGTCTGAATAGGAAGAGAACTTCGTGTGTATACAGTATTTTTTTTTTTTTTTTTTTTTTTTTTTTTTGGTTTTTCGAGACAGGGTTTCTCTGTGGCTTTGGAGCCTATCCTGGAACTAGCTCTGTAGACCAGGCTGGTCTCGAACTCACAGAGATCCGCCTGCCTCTGCCTCCTGAGTGCTGTATACAGTATTTTACACAATTCAATTTCAAAACTGTATTTGATGCCACCAGGCTATTCAGCCTCAGTGTTTAAATTCATTTGTTTGAGTGATAATTAATGACTTTGAGCCATGTCTTCCTATTGTGATTTCTTGATTATATCATCATTGATATTATTTATCCTCCCCCTCCTTTCCCTGTTCTATCTGTTTATTTACTTTTTCAGTATCAAAGTAACCCAGGATTGCAATCTGCTACCTGTTAGCTTCTGCTTCCTTCTGTTGACTCCAAAGGGGACAGCTAATCATTGTAAATGAGTCTAGTAGAGAGGCATCAGGAAGACCTAATTAATCGTCTTATTTTCCTCCTTCAGCTATTTCCCTTTTGCAGCTAGCGGCATCAGTTCTATAAACAACAGATTCTCAAGTGCATGGCTTCTGCTAAGTGCACGTTGACAATGAACACTGACTGAAGACAAACATGTCCTTTCCGTGTTCTGAACCCCATTGAAAGCAAACTTCGTCCCCTTTCTTTCTGTCTTCCTCCTTCTTTAAAGTCTAGGATTTTGAATTGGGCGATTTTTTTTTTCTGTTTTAGTAGAAAACTTCCAAGTAGGTCTGTGTACACACATGCATGCATAGTGCCTCACCATCTTAACTCATAGGACACCATACCATGTGCTGACAGACACCACACCGTGCCTGACAGACAGCTCTCCAAGTAGTAGTATGTCTGAGTGTACAACTGCTTCTGTTTAGCCTCCTTGGAGCCTGAACCTTCCTCTCAGATTCAGAATTCCCTTGGTGCCTTCTTCCTTTCTCAGAGATAAAAAGTCTTCCTGTGTTTCAGAGGCTACTTCTCTGAGGAAGTTTCACACCAGTCAGGTTGCCTTGGATATTTCCCTAACCAGTGCTCCTCTCCCTTTTCCATTGGTCTGAAGTGGCCACATGGATCTGGCTGGAGGAGTCTCTGGCTTTTCTTTACGCTCTGCACTAGACCAAAAGAAGAGCCCGCGAGCCCTGGTTGAAATCCACAGTTGGTAGTCTGTTAGATCCAGCATGCTTGTACCCCCAGAAAGGGCATCCACCAGGGTATTTCCTTCCCCTCACTCCGCTGGCTCCTTCACAGCCTCTTCCTACCCCCTTTGAAAGCAAGCAGACAATTGAAAAGTGCAATGGAAGAATAGTTACACAAGTTTCAAGAAAAGAAAAAAAAAAAGATCTATCAGGCAAACTATCTTACATCTAACCACCAGCTAGACGGAGTGCAGCCACAGTGAAAAGTGTCTGTAGCAACTATAAACATTGCTAGGACGTCCCTGACAGTCACGTGAGGTTTCTAAGGCATCCCCCAGATGACCGAGGTCTGGGCTCTGAACAGACACACTGGCGTTTCTTCTGTCAACTTTTTCATAGTTTTGAGAAATGAGTATTACTTTAGTGCGAGAATAAGTCGTGAGGACTGATTTCCAAAACTTATGGGAACTCAGGCAAAACCACGCATGTGGCCACTGACTTAATTCTGTCAGTTGAACTTCACCTTAGCCTTTCTCAAGCTGAGGTTCCCTGTCCCACTTTCTCCCAGGACATGATTTTACCTGGAGAGTGCTCAGTGTGAATCCTTCCCGGCCACTTTTTACACGGTTCCCGGCAAGTTCCCAAAGGCACCTTTTACACAAACTTTCAAGATTTCCAGGGAGAAAGGAGCTTCCCCTTCTCCCCCAAAATCTTGCCTGGCTCCCATAACTTTTGCAAATCTGGTTGCAATGTAATCATTTCTGATTCTCTATAAGTCGAAGCCCTCCACTTTTTAAGGAGGGTTTTTCTCCTTGCTGGGCGCCAGCTTGCTCTCTGCTCTGGGCAGGCTGAATGGAGTCAGCCTAGCATTTCCCATTTGTAAGTGATAAGAGGGGAGGTGGCGGCTCTCAGAGATCAGGTTTCAAGTGGAGCCCTGGTTTTATGTGTGTGGGAATGGACAGCAAAGGAAAACACAGCCTGGCTGCCTTCTGACTCTTCCTGTTGAACCTGTTCCTGTGCCAGTGAGTAGAGCTGGGTAAAAAGGTTTTCCTCAAACAGCCCTGGGTGAAATTCGTGCCTGGATTCAAAGTCGGCTCACCTCCCAGGAAGTATCGTGGGAGTCCAGGCTGCCCCATTTTAGAAGTCTTTTCTGAGAAAATCTACCAGAGAGAACCTGGCTCCCCTCTCCCTGACGGGAAAGAGTGTGCTGGGGAGGTGTCCCTGGGCAGAGTGGTTGATGTCAGTGGTGTGTCAACCGTGGGAGGCTCGGTCTGTGAAACCGAGTTACACCTAAGTGTCTTATGAAACTCGACTCAGAAGGCACCGGAGCTGCCATCGGGGTAGGGAGGCAGACCAGGATCCCGGGGCTTTCTCTCGACGCTTCTGCCCCATTTGGGGGAACTTCTGGATGGAAAGGAAATGACTATCTCAACTTTACAGACACCTTAGGACACTGGTATGTAGCTTTCTGTGTTTACTAATTCTTTGGAACTGGCGAGTGAACAGTTGCAGACAGCTGCGTGTCCTTGGTGCACGCTGGTCTGTCGTGCTGTTGGGGGTCGAAGGTCCGGTCTGAACACGGTGCCCTCAGACAACCCTACAGCTCAGCCCATCCTTCCTGTGGGCCCACGTTTGTGAAAAGCTTCCGTTCTCCGGGAAATGTGTTCGCTGACTGTGTCCTGCAAAGCAATGTTTCTTAATTAGACAACTAATTGTGTGCTAAGAAACTCTGGGCAGGGCATCATGTTTCTGTGGAGGCAGACCCTAGTGGATGGAGGCTGGGTGAGAGGACCACCCTGTCCAAGATGAGAGCTTGTAAAGCCTGCATCAGTCGGAGACTTAATGAAGGGGCTGAAAAATACAGCCAGGCATGCTCACTCCTGTCAATATGTTTTATCAAATTATTTGGTTTTTGAATACACGTTTCCAACAAGATTTCTTTCTCCATCCGAATGGCAAATTACTCCCAAGTCCAGCATCAGAAAGGCAGCTGGACCCACGACAACAGCAGAGGTTGGGAGCTCTGGCCAATACCTGGAGGCTCTTAACTTAAGAAAGCCCCAAGAGCCAGCCCTCTCCCCACCCCCAATTCCAGCCCTGGCTGGATTCCTACACTCAGCCTGAGTCACTTAGGGGGGGACTTAGGGCTAGGTGAGAAGCTGCTGGGCAGACTCACCTCAACCTGGGGATCTCTTTTACTTTCACTTTGCATGCCTTTGAAATGTTATCTCTGATCTTTATTGACCTCCCACCCCCACCCCCAGTAGCTTTCCACTTAAGTTTGAAATCTCCATCTTTGAGCAGAGGGTCCCTGCTTACGGTAATCAATACAGGTTTCCTGTCACACGGTTGAGTGGGGGGGGGGGGGGAGGACTGAATGTGTGTTCTGCAGACGCTCGGTTTTTTTGTTCAAGGAAGATTTACCGGTGAGGTGACGTGACGTTCACTAGGTAAACATTGATGTCAGAAGAAAGAAGAAAATGGTTTCGGGTTATAGCTGATTTGTAGAAAGTTGATAAATCACCAGTTTGTGCTTGACCTCGTCAGTGTCCCTCCGGGGAACCTGCAATCATTTGGCTAAGAGACTTGGAAAAAAAAAAAAAGAGTAATACAAGCGACATGGCTTTCTTCACTTCTTTTAGCTCTTTCAATGGAAGCAGCTGGAAAATTTGTATTTCCGGGAGAAGAAATTTGCTGTGGAGGTGCACGACCCACGAAGGTAAAGAGAGGAGTTTTGTTTGGGACAATGTGAATGTGTGTACATAGGTGTTTGGATTTACTTTTTATTTCTCTTGGAAATTGACCCTCTAGTGGAGTCACTGGGGACAAAGAGTAACTGTGTTTAACCTTTCCAAAGCACTGGCTGCTTTACCAGTGACATTGGGATTCCAGTTTCCGCAAGTTCTCTCTAGCACCTGTGTGTGGGGTGTATGATTTTTAAATATAATATTTATTAATTTTTGAGAACTTCATATACATATAAATGTTTTGATCCCAATTTTATATGCATAGGTGTTTTGCCATGGGTGTCAGGTCCCCTGAAACTGGAATTACAGACAGTTGTGAGCTGCCATGTGGGTGCTGGGAATTGAACCAGGGTCCTTTGGAAGAGCAGTCTCTTAACCACGGAGCATCTCCCCAGCCCCTTTCATATGCTTTTTTTTTTTCAAACCTCCTGAGTCCAATTTATGCTGCCCGTAGAAACTCGTGGATGTGGGCCATCCCCTGGAGCTTGGTCAGGGTTCCAGGCTCTGTGGTGTGCGTTTGAAAGCTGCCTTGGTAGTATGAACTAGCTGTGGTTGTTTGAGCTGCCTTTTCCTCAGGATTCACCATGGCCAGAGCTTCTTTGCAGGGCCTTATTGACTGTTTAACTTCTTAGGAGCATTATCTATCCTGGTGCTTTGCTTGTTTTTATTTTGAGTGTCCCTGGGCCCTGAAAAAGGAAAACAAGACAGTTGTCAAAAGTCCACATGAATGGAGGTCAGGATGGAGGCTCTCTGAGCTACCAAGAGGCACATTCAGGAGTTACTCTTATACCCTAGACAGTGTTCTAAGGTCAGAGGGATGGGAGGAAACTGTGGTGACAAAAGATGACCTAGGAGATTAAGCAGTTCCTACAAAGGACTGTAGTGCACGGCCCCCCCATGCCCTTTCGCCCTCTGCCCTCTGCCTTCCCCATCCGCTCCCTCCTCCCTATGGTTGTCTCTCTCTCTCCCGCCTATTCCTGCTCTGACTCTCCTCCTCGCCTGCCTTTCCTCTTTTTGCTTGGTAGACAAGCAGCGGCCCGGACCATTGTGGGGCTTGCACATCTTCAGCCAGTATCATCAAGTTCATTTCCTGCAGACTGTGGCTGCCTAGGTCTGAGGTGCTCCCTCTTCGCCTTGGGCAGGTGCTGTTTCTGCAAGCCTCGTGGCTGTCTTTAAACGTCTGCTTTTATCTTTCACCGCGGTGGTCATCCTGCTTCTCTGTGGTTTCTAACTAGATGCGTCTGTACAGCTTCTCATTGGACGAACTCCTTATCCAGCTCTGAGTGCGTGAGAGTTTAGACGGAGACTGCTTGGGGCTGACTGACTGGTTTTGTTGTAAAAGGACAGCGTGAGAACCGCAGCCCCTGTCAGGCTAAGTCTGTGCTGCTGAGGGACAGAGAAGGAAGGTGCTGTCTGGCCACACTGCCTGCTAGGAACACGCCTTGTGCAGCTGGTCCCGGGGATGGAAAACTCATGGTTTTCTTCATGTTTTAGGATTTCGGTGTCTAGAAGAACCTTTGGACAGAGTGGCCTGTTTGTACAAACCTGGTATGCAAACTCCGCTCTCATCAAGTCCATCTGGGTAATGGCCATTAGCCAGCACCAGTTCTACCTGGACCGTAAGCAGAGCAAAGTGAGTAACTGGAGGTGTTCCTGTGGGGGCAAACTCTAGGCCTTTTCCTCTCTGTTCTGAAAGGCATTTTCCCAGAAAACATATAAGAAGAAAAATCTTTTAAGCTTTGTTACACTCTGTTTTCTTTTTCATGTATTTAAAAGATGGGCACCGTATACAAAGCTGATTTGAAAGTTGTGAGGCTTGGCATGCATGCCTGTACAGTGGTGACATCGCTGGTGACATTTTAAAGTTAGTGGTTGAAGTCTGCATACTTACTAAAACCCTCCATGTACAAAAATAAAGTCTTCTGTTGCTTCTAAGTGCCACTTTAAATGTTTAAATTGCCCCGTGTTGACATTTTTGATTATATAGTAACTTAACCATTGTATTGATTTAAAATGCGATAGTGCTAATTTCATTGCAATGTTATTTACTTCACAGGCGAAAATTCCTTCGGCCAGGAGTTTAGACGATATTGCAATGGATTTGACAGAGACTGGAGCACAGAGGACCTCCAAACTGGTGACTCTGGAGGCAAAAAGTCAGTTCATCATGGCAAGCAATGGCAGCCTGATATCCTCAGGTATTTCCTTGCTCAAGAAAATATGTCATCTTTTTCTCCTTTTATTCTTCTCTTCTCTTCTCTTCTCTTCTCTTCTCTCTCTCTCTCTCTCTCTCTCTCTCTCTCCTTGTCTTTTTTTCCTTTTGTGTTTGTTACAAATCATTTCCAAACGCATCTTGTTGAAGCAATTTTTTATCCCAAAATGTAACAGTATGCAACAGCTTCAAATAACGTTTTAAACTTATTTATTCATATTTTTATCTTGAGTTAAAGGCTCACTTTATAGAACTGGCTGGCCTCAAACTCACAGAAATCCTCCTTCCTCTGCCTCCTGATGTACCACTGTCCCCAGTCTTTGACTATTTTTAAAGACTATGAAGTTAGATTGTAATTAGGCAGGCTATATATATATATATAACTTTTGATGCAAAGATATTAAGTACCCAAGGCTATCTTGTATCCTGCTAGGTTTTGATGCCACTAATTCTCCACAGAATGTATAATTCTATACAAACACTATTGCAAGCGCCTAGTTCATAAACTGTAATCATTGGGCCCAGGCCTTTCCTTTGTGGAAATTCCGGAGTCTCTTATCACTATGTCTGTGTAACTAAATTAACTTGTCTCATCTAAGTCTCTCTCAGCTTGTGGGTCTGAAGTAGCAGGCATGGGGGCCAGGAAGAGTGTTCCTTTGCATTGGACAGTCCATTGCCTTGATTGCTTACCTCCTAAAGAAACAATGAGTGGATCCATCTCAGGGATCACCTTCCCTTCACTCTTAGGAAACAATGCAGTTTCTCCTTGTGTGTGCCTGAACCACAAAACGTTTAGTGGGGCCTTCCAAAATGACTGAGTCACCAAGTGCAAAAGTCATTTTCTTACCAGGCTCTGATGCCCAGAAGCAAATGCTTCCTGGTTTCCTTCCATTATGTTCAGAAACAAGGAGAAAAGAAATAGACGCAGTATTTGGGAACAGCTTTGCCTCCACTGCCCTTTGTCTCTTGGCGAGGAAGGAAACGGGGCCTGTGTGAACCTCCTTGCCCTTCTCCCTCTCCAGGTTCTCAGGACTCAGAAGGCATGGAGGAGCAAAAACGAGAGAAAATACTCGAACTCAAGAAGAAGGAGAAACTGTTGCAAGAAAAACTCCTGAAGAAAGTTGAGGAGCTGAAAAAGATCTGTCTTCGCGAGGCTGTGAGTGGCCTTGGCCTTTCTGAGGACTTGTGTTGGGTGGCTATAGCCTGTGTCCTTTATGAACTCTTGACCCTGTCCTGTTTTACAGGAGCTCACGGGCAGAATGCCAAAGGAGTATCCACTGAACATCGGCGAGAAGGCCCCTCAGGTCAGGAGGCGAGTGGGCACCACGTTCAAGCTAGATGACAACTTACTGCCTACTGAGGAGGTAGGAGCATGGCCCCGAGCCTTCCTGTGCCCAGACAGGAGAGCCGTCTATTCAGAGCCCTCCATCCTCACCTTCAGCTCTGAGTCAATGCTGCCGACTTTTCTCCAAATCATGGAAACTGAGTAGATCA